GCTTGTTTTTAAGCTGGTTCGAGCTGGTTCAAGCTGGTCTAGGTGGTAATCAAGGTGGTTCGAGCCGGTCAAGCCGGTTCAAGCTGGTTCAAGCTCTCACTGCAGCTGATTCGAGCTGGTATTGAAGCTGGATCAAGCTTGTCAAGCTGGTTCAAGATGGTCAAGCTGGTTTTAGCTGGTTCTTCATCTGGCCCAAGCGGCTTCGAGCTGGTCATGCTGGTCTTGCTGGGAGCGCGGACGTCAAGGTCGGCTACAGCTTGTCGAACTGGCATAGCTGGGAGCGCGCGAGCCAAGGTCGACTGGGGCGAGGACGAGCCCACGTCTTGGTTTTGTCCTCTCGTTTTCGGTAGACTACCGGGCGCTTCAGGCGCTGCGAGCTTCCTTGGTGTGCGAGAAAAGGAGAGTAAGAGAGTGATAGCATGGAAAATTTGAAACACGTTTGGCTATCTTGGGCAGATTTTTGAAGGAACGGCTGTGTGCGCGTTGTTTGGGGACTACTTGAACGGCGGTGCAACCGAAGTGGGATTTGAGGAGACAGCGAGCGGCAGTTCGTTCAGTGCGGAAAGAAGTCAGACGCCCCGACTGAGGCGTCGCTTTGTGTCTTCGAATATGTGTGTGCTCGTGAATTACGGTGGTTCCGAAGAGTATCGCCAATTAAATCCAAGCCACACGGATTTCCTTGCCTCTGTCGACTAAGCAAGAGGCCGCTTGCCCCCTTACTGGCCGAACCTAGGTTCGCTTCTCTCATCCGTGTAGTATTTTTTATTGTTATTGTCTGTTTTTGGCGTGTGTCTAGTATTTTTCGTGTTGAGAGATAAACAATCTATTTTGAATAGCAGTGTTTGTCTTGCACCGAGAACAACTGTCTCTGCGTCGGTTAGTACTGTGTCAGCGCAAAGGATGTGTGGCATCTGAGCTCATATGAGCAAGCCGTGAATAAGAAAATAATAAATTAGATGCCGAGCTAGCTTTTCTGAAGAGTTTGGCTTGTTTATCTTGAGTAATATATTAAACTGGTTAAACTGGTGGGGAAGTCAACCAGCTTACCCAGCATGTCCAGTTCACCCAGCATAAAACAGCATTCACCCAGCACCACCCAAGCATCCAACCAGCTTGAACAGCCAAGCAAGGTGGGCATGCTGTAGCAATAACCCAGCATGAAGCTGGGATGCTGTGACCGATATGAAGCTGGGATGCTGGGACAGCATAAAGCTGAGATGCTGGGACCAGCTTGTGCTGGGACCAGCTTGACTACTGCAAGCTGGGCATACTGGAGGAATAACCCAGCATGAAGCTGGGATGCTGAGAACAGCTTGTGCTGTTTTTTTCTGAAAGGGCTGAATTTTGCAAGATAAGTAAATGCTGAAACTAGACAACATAATTTAAAGCAAACTTTTTGCAGCGACAGGGAGTTGGAAGTAGTTTCTGAAATAACAGAGGAAGCAATTTGAGGGCAACGGTATACAGATCGGACCTATGAGAGCCTAACTAGGCTTTTTGCTCTGGAATTAGACAACGTTCAGGTTAAACGAAAGGGGAAGCAAGGCCATAGAGCAGAAAGGTGGACGGACGAAGAAGTGAAGCAAGCGAAACAAAACCGTCAGGTAGCTTCTAGAGAACAAAGGCATTCCAAGCGGAGCGGGGAGTCAGGTACGAAAGTAAAAAGAAAATAGGGCACTTTATAACATGTCGCCGAGATGCCTCCAGTTTGATCAATGCGAAAATTCAAAGAAAGGGTGAGGAATGGATGAGAAATGTAAGCCACATAGATAAAAACGCAGCCAGGAAGTTTTGGGAGCACTTGGTGAAACGACGCAAGTTAGACAGAGGTTCATACTCTCGCATCAGGGAGATCAATTATAGGGAGATGACGCGATACGACATATAGAAGCAGTGATGGAGGAGAAATTTCGGGAACGGGTACATGTGGAAGATAGAAAAAACCAGAAGTAGCAGTCCAGCCTGTGACATCGCGGATTTCGGATAAAGAGAAAGGGAAATGGTGGAACGAAGAGTCCCTAGTGGCACGTCTAGAGGCACAGATGGTATTCCAATCAAGCTGGTGAAGAATTAGGGTCCTAAATCTAAAAAAAAACTAAGGGAGGTAGTGAGCACCGTGATAACATAAGGAAATATTCCAGATGAATGTAGGGTTAGTTGGATGAGTAGGATATATAGGGGAAAGAGAGATAAGTCTGATATTAGGAATTATCGTCCCGTAAGCGTGACCCCAGTTAGTTATATGTTGGTAATGCATATTATAAAGAACAGAATGGATGAATGGGTAGATTGCGAGGGCATACTAGGCGAGTTGCAGAACGGGTTTCGAAAACAAAGGTGGCTGGAGGACAGTGTATTTTCTCTAACACAGTGTATAGAAAAACGCAAAAAGAAAACAGAGAGCTCTGGCTGGCATTTCTGGATATCAAGGGTGCCTATGACAATGTGAACCAAAGGAACCTGTGGGACATAGTGGAGAGCTAAACCTAGATGAAGGACACACATCAATATTAAGGAACCTTTACAAAGATTATAATGTGATTATAACATGGGAAGGAAAGGCAACGGGGAATATAGAGATAAGACGAGGTCTTAGGCATGAGTGCCCGTTGTCGCCTTTGCTGTTTATGTTGTTTCTGAGAGGGTTAAAGAATAAACTAGAAAGTGTGGTCTTGGATTCCACCTTTTGTACTGTAAGCTAGGCCAACAAATTCAGCAATCCTTACCGGAATAGATGTATGCGGATGATATCGTACTAATGTCTAACAACCGGACAGAGTTGCAGGAATTAATGAGTATCTGTGGTAGGGAAGGAAAGGAATTAGGTTTAGAATTCAGTAGTGAAAAATCAGCAGTCATGATTTTTTAACAATGATGAAGTTGTGACGCTAAAGACACAGATTACAGTTGAGAGAGCAAGCAAATACAAGTACCTAGTAGTATGGGTACGTGATGGTGTAGAATATCTCAGTGAGCATGAAAAATATATAATAGGTAAGGGAAACAGAAATGCAGCTGTAATGAAAAGTAGAGCACTTTGGAATTAAAGCAATGTTGAGGTGGTGAGAAAGATGTGAAAAGGGGTCATGGTGCCTGCTTTGACTTTCAGAAACGCAGTGCTATGCATGAAATACGAAGCATGCAAGACTCGAAATAAAACAGCGTTGTGTAGGTAGGCTGGCTTTGAGGGCACATTGAAAAACGCGAAACCAGGGAGTACAAGGAGACTTGGGATGGGCGTCATTTGAGAGCACGGAAGCTGTGACCAAGATAGAATTAGAGGATCGGTTGAGGCAAATAGATGGAGAGCAATAAGCACGAAAAGTTTTGTTCTATTTATACATCAGAAGTATAGACACAAAGTGGAGACAGCGTACCAGGAAATTAAGTGGAAAGTTTGTAGGCTATAGTGCAGTTACGGAAGAGCAGGTCTCAGTTAAGAAGAAAGTTAAGGCCAGAGAAAGACATCGGTGGCTAGAGGGAATGCAGGCAAAAAAAGCTCTGGAAAGCTATAGATTAAGCAAAACACCCTACCAAAAATAACGGTTTGAAATTAAATCGGAATGAATCCGGAGTTTCAGACCGTCATATGGAACCGGGAACTAAATCGGAGACGACCAATTCGGAAACTTAACCGGAGACAACCAATCCGGAGGCCTAACCGTACTTGGTCAAATCGGATGTGGCCAATACGGAGAATTTAACCGGAATGAATCACACCGGAGATTAGGCCGTACCGGGCCACTCCGGACAAAAAAGGAATTAGATTAATAAAGAGCTAATGCTCAGTTTCACCTTCTGGTGTACTGAGGCTGATGCTAAGAGCCTTTTGAGTCAGTCCAGTGCTTGAGAGCATGTCATCCGACTCTCTGGCAACGCCCAGCGGCACGGAATGCGTTGAGCCAAGCAACATATTCACTGCGCTTGGTTGGTAGGAATGGCTATAGCATCTGCTGCACTACATCAGAGGTAAAACAGAACATAGTCAGTGTTGGTTAGTCATCAATATCACTGCAAATAATGAGGTACGACACCACACAGGGAATTGTGAAAAAAACGAGAAGATTCATTTATATAGTCTGAAAACACACAATCGCATAAAATCTGAGGAATGATACATTTAAAATTTTGTAAAACATTTAAAAAAAATATGTTTAAGGCTCAAAACTCAAACATTTCACACCAGGGTTCGTACAGGCTTTAAAGAAAAAAATTCAAGGGTTTTTAAGAACTTCTAAGGACCTGTAAATATACATTGAAATACTCATCTAGTCAATTTGTAATATATCATCTTTTTAAAATGCACTGCGAAAATTCTTTATTGCACAATACCTAGGAAAAGGCGTATTTGCCGAGGAGGTGCTAGTTTTCAAAAGGACCTGCGCACCACGCACACACAAAATCCTCTACAAAAAAAATCAAGAAAATAAGGCAAAACCACAAATATATACAAGAGAGCCAACTAGGTATACAGAGGGGTTTAAAGCGATAAAGTGGTATTCCGTTCACCAAGCAAAACTGACCCCCTCTTGGCTGCCGCCATGTTGTTTGACCACTGGACACATGACCGTACGAAATACTGAGGTTTTTACGCAAAACTAAGCCGAGATTTTTATTGCGATTGCAGTAAAAACATGATAAACTATTTTTTTAAATATATTTAGCCCCAGAGATCAGTGTCTAGCTTTGATAAAAAGCCAAAATACAGCACCACGGCTGACGGCACCTGGCGGAGGCATTGCGAAGCTGCCCAAGTTTTTGTCGTAAAAGCATGTTTTCGATTTAAAACAAACGAAACAACTTATCCCGTCAGTACCATTAACACATTCAAGACTGAAAAATAATTAATAAATCATAAAAAAAATATAGCTTTGTAAATAAAAATACATATTGCACAAGGTTCTTATAAGTATAATGCCAAAACACAATAAAAACTAAAAAAAGAAAAATATTGCAGCAAAAAAAAAAAAAAAAAGGACGAAAAGCAGAAGCGACTGGCGTTTAGGGTGGGGGAACTGCTAACGGAGATTCGTGGTCGTTCTTTGTGTTCTTCTTCGCCCTCTCCTCTTCCCTGTTCTTATCGACCAAATAGTCACCTAAGAGCTTTTTCACCACGTCCCTGACGGACGGCTCTTTGCCTTTCTTGGGACCTGGCTTGTTGCTGCCGTCCTCCTTGTCTTTCTTGCCGTCCTCCTTGTCTTTCTTGCTGTCCTCCTTGTCTTTCTTGATTTTGGCCTGCTTTTCTGCATAGCAGCCAAACGCAGCTGCAAAACCAGAGAATTGCAGCGTGTTTAGTTTTTATTGTCTGGAGTTCAGACAATAAGAAAATTAAAGTGTGTTTTAAATGGAGCGCCAATCGGTGGCAAAAGCGTAAGCTTGGTGACATCCTGTCAACGGCACAGGCAACCAGACTGGCTGGAAAAGTGCACGTGACATTAATGTGCATGCCTTTTGCCAAGTGGTTTTTGGTCCCACCTTCACCTGAAGCACCCGCTAATCCACATGCCATTCACATCTTCATAAAGAGATGTTCCAACAATTACGAACGCTGCTGGTTCTGGCTGCACCATCAACAACTGTGCCATCACCAAAGAGAAAAGGTAGCTGCAATCATGAGTTCATTTCACATATTATATTCTGAGTAACACAAATTGGTTAAAAAATATATTTTACTGTGTTACTGAAGTCTCATATTCGCGACTCCAGCAAAATGGACGCCACCAAGCGGGAAAACCGGGGACCAGCCGGACCAGGTCGCTCCGTGCCCCTCCGCGTCTCTGGTGGCTTTCTCAGACGCGTGTTGTCGGCACTGTGGCGAACGATGTAATTTGACGAAGGTCCGAAAATTTCTTGAGTTTGCCTGAGTGTTCATTAGTGTGGTGAAGCCTCAGTAGATTGTTTCCTTCCATCACGTGGTTGAAAGTCCGTTTACTCCACAACACACGGTCGTGTGCTTTCGATTTCTTGGTTGGGGAGGAATCACAGAAAAAACGTTTTGATTTCTTGTCTGTCTCTAATCACATTCAAAGTGACGACTACTTGGTAACTGATGTGGTTTCTTTATAAGGATGTAGAACAGTGAACTGAGGACGACAGACGAGGCATTTCACTGGAGGGAACACCAATGTGGCAGTCAAGTGAATGGGAAGGTTCGATAGCTGCTTTTCTGGAGTTTGGTTGTGTTCGATTAGCTTCAAGTTTGAGCCACCCACGCCGGTCGGTGTGTTGGCTATTCATCTTGGCTGCTTTTCGCCAAAAAAGCCTCTGTACCACTCTGAAGGAGTTGGGCTGACTTTCGCACTTGATTCAGGAAAACCTGCTCGCTGCAAATGATGAATGAGGGAAATTATCTGTTTTCAAAAGGTGGGGGACGCGTCTCGCAACGTTAGAAGTTGTCACGGCATTTTGATCTATCACGCCTCCAATATTGAAATTATACCCCCATCAAAGCCAGCAGCAATATACGTCTACGTTGATCAGGTTGACCGGCGACAAAAAATGCTCATTTTCATAGTTCAGGATTCGAAGCAAAGTTCAATGCAGAGAGGTTCTGCGTGAATCTCCAATGAAGACTCTCTTCAGTTTGTCTCCGTGCTGCCGGCTAGAACCATTTGGCTAAGTTTAAGTAGTATCTCTCTGTCTGTCAAATATACTTTTATTCAGCAGTTCACCTAATAGCTAGTCAACTAAGCCCATATTTCAACCCGAAGAATATACTAAGATCGCTTTAGTGGGACATAATACGTAATATAATACATAACCCGCTCGACAAAATGACTTCTCGATTGCTACTAAAACCTGAATATGAAATACGAGTATCAGCTGCTTAGTGGGGTGCCGGCGGGTTAACATGCTCCTTGGCTCGAGAAGCGCTTGCTTAATTTTCGTAACTTTCCTGCAGCCTGTGTTGTTGACCGGGCAGACGACTGGAGCTGTTTCCTAAATGTGGATACGCACAAAAGCTTGATTTCGCCGACAGATAAGTCGCATGGTCGAGGCATGCGAGTTAGCTGAAAATTGCTCTTGGTGGAACAATACTGTAGTAATCGCCGCTTTCCTTAGACGACCAAAACTGATTAGTATAATACCGTCTCTCCGGAGCCCATAGTTTCGGTTTTGAACGAAATCTCTGAAACAAAAGTTTAACAAGGAAAGAAGAAAAAAAAAAAAAACGGGAAAACAACACTATGCTTTGCAAGTTTATGTGCACCGGCTACACTTAACCGTCTCAGTTCAAATACCTATAAAATTGGGCATTAAACAAAACAAAATCTGTTAAATTGAACGCGCCACCTGTTCAGGCGGCCCGGCCGAGCCGACACGACCTGGACTCAGCCACCATGTTTGTTTGGTGGTGGCGCCCCCTATAGGTCGCTGGAGTCGCGAGTACTAGCTTGGGCGTAGGTTATGCACATACAAACCTAGTTGGAAACCCGTGGCAGGGTCCCTTAAATGAATAATCCACTCACCAATGACGGCATCAATCTTTTCTGGGGTGAGGGGTGTCTTCCCCACTGCCCCATTTTTGAGAAGGCGCCTGCAGGCTTGTCCGGTGACGCTCCGGTCAAACAGCGCTGCAGGCTCCCAGAGGCCTCGACTGACCATTCTCACGAACCGTCCAGGAGTGGACGCATGGGTGAGAGCGTGGGTCATCGTGGCCTCCGCCAGAGTTATGCCGTGGCCGAGATGAACCTGCAGCATGACAGGCAGTTTCAATATACAAGAAGAGGGCTCTCTCTATTCCCCTGTAGAGCTGCTGTAATTTTGACCTGTATGACTTAAGTTTAAAAAAATCGGTACCCCATTGCTGATATCAAAATAAGCAGTAAAAAAGGGAATATGCAAACAAAAGATGGGTTTTTATTGCTCTACAGTACTCGTAGCATAATGCTATTCATCAGATGACAAAACCTTCTGTAATCACCGTTTGTTAAAACTAATTATTTTAAAGTGGAAAAGAAAGACCACGTATGCCACACACTAGTATATTACTATAGTAATACAGTAGAACCTCAGTTTATTGAAAATCCAGGATAACTAGTAGAATTTCTATGGTCCCATATAGTATCAAGTGTAAATATGACCAAATAATATGTATGACCAGAGCGCACCTACCCAGTTAGTTTCTGGACTTTCGTCGGCCCGGCTCATTTTTTACATGCTAAGTGGCACAAATCAGCACCCAAATGCAATAACATGGCGAGTTTTCGTCATTCCGTTGCCTGCTTGCATGCGAATCCATGCATAAAAGTTATTTGTGTGCTTTTCTGCTTTTTCCATTGTGATCTGGGAGTCAGTGATGTCAATCTCATGTGCGATTGTAGTGCGGAGGGAACCTGCTGAAGCACAAAACCCTAACGCCGCGCCAGAAAGTGGGCCTCATCGAGAAAGCAGACAAGTTTGCATTTTCGAGAACGAAGCTTGCCGAGAAACATAAGCTGCCTCTCGACAAGGACGACAATTCTCTAGGCCTGCAACAAGACACTCACCAAAGCGTTCACTAATTTGTCTTCCTACCTATGCCGAGGTGGAAGGCGCCTTGATCACCTGGCAGACATGCTATGCAAACACTGAAAGTGATATTGCTGGGAGTGTGGCTGTTGAAACCCAAAATGGCAGCGACTACGAGTTACCCGTGCCTTTGCTCTCGGAGAAGTCGTGCAATTGCTAGGGGTTGTCTGCAGTTTTTTAGAGTATGTATATACGGTGGCTGTACGGAAACATTTGCCCAATCGTCATTTTTGAGAACACGATAAGTATCACCAACCACAGGAAGCGTTAAGCAGATTGACGATTACTTCATGTAACTGCATCATGTTTTGCAATAAAAAGTTTTTTAAGGTTTACCCGCACATGATTTTGGTTCTTTTATTTTTTTTTATTTTTTCGTATAATTTTAAATCCCGCTTAATTGGAATATCTTTCTCAGTCCAACAGACTTCGAATTAACGAGATACTACTGTATGTCCAGATACCATCAGCTATGCAAAACTTGTAAATGCATCGTATGTCAAAAAACAACTGCAACCAAAAAAAAAAAGAACTTTTGTAACAGTGCGTATACCACACGCATGTTGCAAACATGCATTTTCCTTGAAGAAACGATTTAGCTCACTATTTATGCTGCACAATGGAATTTACATTAGCAGTCTACCTCTCCACTCCTCTCTGTCGCACTTGTTTGCACCATGTTGGTATGGTTACAGTAAAATGAAAGAGGATACATGAAGGAAAACACAGATTACTGCAAAATTACTCACACCCTGAATATTGTTTTCATTTTTCTCCATGCAAAATAGATTTTTGACACAACTTTTCTATCCGGGGGGGTACAGCATCCCTCTTACTACTTGCATTTTTTATAAGATTTATCCTCTATTCTTTTGGCTTTATTCTTTTAACCAGGCAACAGTTTGCCACTGTATCACCAGTAATGTTAGCACTGGTAATGAATTTGATTAGCCCCAAAGTACCAGATTTAGCAGGACGCATGGTTATTAATTTTGTGGACTGGTTAGTCACGAGTTCTCAACCCTAACAGTACAGATTTTCAGGTAGTAGAGCTTTTGGCATTTGTCTGTGGTGTGACCGAGTAGAAGACACAATATTTTGTTACATGGAGCTGGCTGCAAGCACCCTCCGTTATGCCTATATAAGTGGTGCACCGTGCTCTCAAAAGCCCTCGATCCAACTTACCTAGTGCCGGCACTAAAAAATGCAAACTTATTTAATTAAGCTTTTCCACACCACATATTGAACTGTTTGCCACCTGAAAAAATAATAAATGCACTTCCACATCTACAGCAAATACGCATTCTGATTGGTTCATTAGACAATGTAGACATACCATACTATACTAAAAGATAGCCACCTCAATTTAAGAGCAAACTAAGTGAAAATAATGGGAAAGCTAACTTTTAGAGCTTGATAAAAAAATATAAAAATCTTGTTGCAACAAAGCCAAGAACACATACACTTTTAACAAACTTTAAAGCCTGCGGATTTGCAGTTGAGTTGGCAAGATGAACTACCTACTAGTGAATTACATTATGCTATTTTAGATGCAGTGGGCCGTCAAGCCTGTTATGGCTGCAAGGGTTAACTGAATGAAGGATAACTGTCGTTTCCAGCCCTCATGGCTTGCTCACCTCCCCTTGTGGCTTGCCCCGTTTCTGCGGAGGTGACCATTGGACTACCTTTAGGTGGTGGGGCATCTCTTAGGATACTAAGATGCATACGTAAAAAGCTTGCCTAGGTATTAGCTTTGTTAATATAATCAATAACACTTTTGTTTCGAAAACTGTCCTTTCAATGAAAACATTTAACAAAATCTTTTGTAGGCTCTCATGCATACTTGACCATCCAGGACAGCAAGAAGCGGAGGATAAGGAACATCCCCAGACTCCCCACAGCCAGCAGCCCCGGCATCACCTAGAAGTGCAAATTGAAAATTCTCAACATCAGCAACTTTAGAAACCTAGCTGGCTTTATGAAATTAAGGAGTTATATACAGAAATGAAGGACAGTCTACCCCGACTGTAACTTTACCTGCCACTCCAAAAATGTAAGAGTGCAGTTAATTTAACTTGAATTGCAAGCCTCTGGAGTCAGTTTCTGGGAGCAAAATCTAACTTTTGTGCTTGAAGCGACACAAACGTCTGTGCCATTAGGCAGGGACGCTAGGTACTTCCATGCCTCCGTGGAGCTGGTCTCGTGAAATAAAATACCTGCGGCTAAGTTGGCCGCAATTGGAGCAGCAGCTGCGAGATGAGCAAACCGGCCCTGGGTGGCGATGAGAATCGAAGAGCAGACCTAGTGACCCAAACGCCGATGCGTTACTTTAGGGCTCCGAGGGGGAGCGGAACCAGCTGGGCTAAGGATGACTAGGGCGCCTCTATGTTCTCCTTGCATTATTCTTTGTAGTACCTGATCAACAGCACATACTCTTGGAGAGAACACAAAGGGATAGCACAACACAAATGCTGCTGTAGTGCAGGCAAAATATGAGCTCAAACCTGAGACACTCACGTGCTCCAGAGCAAACAGAAAGAAGCATTGCAAAAAGTCAAATTCACAAACTTGTGTTGCATCCAACCGAGTGCGACTGCAACCACTTGCAACGCTTAAAACAAGATGGCGGCGTCTGTGAGATGGCACCAACGGCAGTGTTGGGAACGCACTTACTGTATCAAAATGCATTCAGACATAACCACAGATGCCATTCACTGCATTAAACAGTAAATGTGTTGGTAACACTACAGTGCTTGGAACGCGTCTTCGACAGGTGTGTTAAGGCGTCCTCATTTTGGTCCCTCGATTTACACCTTGTGATGTCACAAAAATGTCATGCTGTTGCTGGTCGTGATCTTGGCGGCGGTTCAACGGCAAAGGTACAGTTGGCAGACGACTGTTCTACCTTGTCTGACTCTGCTGCTCAACAGTTGATGGAAACTCAAGTGAACATGAGACGGGACATTCCGATAACAGCAACTATTTATGTCCGCTCATCTTGTTAGCCGGCGCCCCTAATGAGTCGACAACCAACCGCAAGGATTGCGACACCCGATAGCATGACACTTTTAGCTTTTGTGGCAAATTTTATTGCCACTTCCGGACCATTTTGAACGCAATATGGGGGGGGGAGGATATAGGACAGTAAACACACCAATCGAAAACGCGTTCCAGGCACCATAGTAACACTGCCATTGGCTGAACTGCGCAGACGCCGCCATCTTGTCTTAAGTGCCGCAAGCGGTTGCAGTCGCACTCGATCAGACTCAACGTAAGTGTGTCAACCAGCCTTAAGAAACTGCTTTGATGTCAGTACTCCGGAACAGATGCATACACATAGCAGGTGACTGATAGCACGCACAGTTGCCCTGAGAATGATTAATTGCAGCTCGGCACATGATCCCACAACTGCTCATACACTAGACTTCTGAACGAATTTAAACTTGTCTTGATCATTCTGATAATATGAGGAGAACATGAATGTGTTGTGCATGGAATGCCTGCACGAGTTTCTATCTGAAACATCTCACAGCTCCTCGTAACTGAGCATACCCAATCATACATAATGCAGGCGTAACGCACACACCAGACATTCTATGCTTCCCGAGTTTATCGAATGATCAAGGGAAGTTTGACTATTTTTTGTTTTTCTAAACCTCGACAACTGCACCGAACGAGAGATACTCGAGCTGTCTGTCCCTGATAATTAGGCAATGCCTAGGTTCATCAGGTCTCGTTACTGTTTTTGATAGAAAAAAGGGAGCCATTAAAATACTTCAGTCCTGTTAATAGGCTCATAACAGACCTACATCTCTTTCCAATAGCAAAACAAAACTTGGAGACAGAGAATCCCTCAGCTCCATTAGAAAGAAATAATAATTGTGCAATTGCAGTGGTCACACTGGCCTTGTATAGTGACATGGATGTTGTTGCTACACTCTATGTATGTTAGTACTACGAAATACATTCCTCTTTGGTGTTTATACGAAGTTGACCCACACATTATTTATGAATGAACTGTAGTTTTTCATGTTCAGCTAATTTACATTGTCAGCAAACTTACTGTGTGGTTCAGCGGGAGGAACCTCCTCAGACTCTGTAGCCTCCACAGGGAGCGGGGATAGGTTCCCTGCAGGTTGCAGATGGGAACACTCCTCGGAGTCTGTCAATTCTTGCGTGCTGCCCGATGCCCCAGTTGTGCGGTACAGCATTGTAGACACACCTGAAAACAAAAATTCCAAGGTCAAATTTGACTGATCAAAAAGCGATCAAGCGTGTAAACCCCAAAGGGAATACCTGAAAAGGGGCATAAAAATATTCTGCAAAAAAATACAAACTTATTTATTGTAATTGAGCATGACAACCAATTCAAAACGTAGCATAACAAGTGGCACACAAAGTATGGATATAGCTCATTGTACAATGCAAAGTATCTCAACCTGGTCGACACACAGTAAAAAGGGATAATCCAGGTGTGTGGATCCTCTACAAACGAAACAAAACAACAAGGAAAGGTGGAAAGCGGCTATAATTATCACTTTACACAACAGTGAAAAGGCAGGAAGAAGAGGGGTTTGCACCAGAGTGACGGTGGCCACCCGTTGGGCACATCATAATATTGGTTTTAGTAGGGAATTCAGCGTCACCTTGATGCAATACAGTAAATTCTCACTTGAGCGAACTCAAGGGACCCAAGGAAATAGTTCACTTATCTGAAAGTTCACTAAAGGCGGCTGGCATCGAGGCTACTTGAAGGATTATACGGCGTGCAAGTTCGTCTGCTTCCTGTGCACGTCGTGCTTAACTGAATATCTTCACTAGAACATAGAACAGCATAGGGCACAGCATATATTGAGTCAAAAGTGTGAAATGTAATTTATGAAGTCATGTACATTGATATATACAAAGTGCATAACAGTTATGATGCTGCCTTTCTCATTTAAAAAAAAAATATAATTTTCATTTGCACCGGCGCTCTTAATGCGCATGAAGTAACTAGGCTGTCCAGAGAGTCTCTGTTTTTTTGCACTTCCTCGAGAATAAAAATAAAGTTTATTCTCTCTCTCTCTCTCTGGCACAGCTTGTTGCTGCGACAAAGCCATACCACAACAATATCATCCACTGACTGGAAATATCCCGTGCAGAGTCATTTGCTATTGCCATTGAGGTGCAGTTTCTGCTTCAAGCTTTGACTTTTGCTTCACTATCGTTCACAACGTTGACGGTGGAATCTCATAGTCCTTCGCAACGTCCACTTGCCTTTATTCATTGTCCAGACACTGAGGAATTTTGAGCTTGTGTGATAAAGACAACCACTTCCGTCTCGTGCTCGTTACGAAAGTGGGTGCACAAACTGCCGTCCTACTGTTGTTACCCACAACAAAGATGGCCAAATGCAACCGACGAAAAGAAAAAACAGACGCACCACATGGTTAATTTTCGTCTACCGCACCGCCGCTTTGCTTCGGCAGTACTGTGAAAGCCAGCGATAATAGGCGGGCATCGGCTACGCCAGCACTGCAGAGCACAAAACTTCAGTGAACTGATTGCAAAAATAATCCTGGGACCATCGATCAAGTTTGTTGAACTGAAATATTTGCTATTCAGAATGTGTTTTTCGTTAAACTGAAACATTTTTGCATAGAATGCATAGGAGAAGCGCCGGTGATTTTTTTAAGGTTCAATATCCTGAAATATTTGTTAAGTTGACGCTCGCTCAAGTGAGTTTACTGAATTTAGGCTGCTGTCTTATTTCGTGCCACTAAAGTGATATCGGCCATTTGTTTTCGTTTAACTTCTGATCGGAGTTTCCCTTTGGCTTCATACTTTCAGCAAGTTACTTACTGTAAAGTAATGAATATTGCGAGTCTGATATGAACCAAGAAAGCATGTCTACTTTACCTCAGAGCACATGAACAGCCAGTCACTGCCATGTACAGAAATGGCCCATTGATTGACAATACACTGATAACAGATATACTTGAAAAAATCATCTGTGTCAAGACGCTCAACGCTGTCAACACCTTGTCATTCGCTGCCCTTCCTGCGAACAGCAGTGACGCTATTCACATGATCTGCAGTAAAGTAGACATGCATTCTTTTTAGTATCTTGCAGTACTTTGCGCAAATGAAAAAGTATTTCTGTCCTCATTTCTTCACAAAATTTAAAGAATTTGTAAAAACTAAATTTTAAAAGTGAAAAAAAAAGTGTCTGCAAACCATGTTAAATACATGACGCCGACATATGTAGCACATAAGGAACATCTCATTTTTGTAGGCACATTTGAAACCTTGGATCCTTTTTTTCCATGTAACTCCTAAAGTAAAGCTAACTTCTGAAACAATATCTACATCCACAATATAACAGCAAGAAGAAACTTCGGAATTAATTAATGGAAACTGAAATTCAGCTATCCTGCCCTTACATCCGGCCTCTGTCATCACACGATCAGGCACCGAAGTAGGGACAGCAACGGGCACAAGGACAGGAGCAGCGACGGGGACAGGGACAGGAGCAGCGACGGGGACAGGGACAGGAGCAGCGACGGGGACAGGGACAGGAGCAGCGACGGGGACAGAGACAGGGACGGGGACGGGGACAGGGATGGGTGCAGCAGGCACTCACGTTCTTCCCTCCAGCTGGTGAGTGGCCTGGTGACTGGCCTCTCTGGTGATCTCTGGAGAAGGCACAGTGACCATGTGTCCATCGATAGTCACCAGGCAAGCAAAAAATTAGGCCCACTGCAATGGACCTTTTCCGAGAAGCGTTCTGCGCACGCGCGAGCACCCGATGCTAAGCGGCGGAAGTCAGAACGAAAAATCGAGGAAATTCGGAAGGAGGCCGTATATCAGCGAGCACAACACGTAACTGAAGAATATATATAATTGTGTTACATGAAAAGAGAATGTCGACGGAAAGGAAAACACGACGTTTAGGTGGATGCCACAGATGCCCCTCTTTGAAGTCGCGTAGGGCACGCGCCGCTGCTCGGAGAGCGAAGAAACTGGTAGCCTAGCTCCCTATATCGATTGGTAGAGCAGGTAGGTCACTTCCTCGATTTTTAGTTTGTGCAGCCACCGCCTGGTGCCGTCGGTATGTGGAAAAGGTCCATTGTTAGCCATAAGGGTGCATAATCCGAAAGCACAATTGCGAAACATTCAAGTAAACATGACGGGTAGCTTACCGATCTTGTCGAGGACGACACGCATGAGTCGAAAGTTGGAATCCTCTACTTCCTTTAGTTTCTTTTGAAGCTCCTCAATTTTTCCAAGAGCTGCGTCATGTTCGGCTTTCGACACAACGCCTTCGGCGCATGTGGCACAAGACTTTTCCTCCGCCTTGCGGAGCCTCTTCCGCAGAGATCGCAGAGCTTCTTCAGCCCTATCTAGCTCCGACTTCGGCACAACTGCAGGGTCCTCGTCATCGGTTGAGTCTCCTGCTAAAGGCCTCTTCTTACTTAGAATGCTCGCCATCTGTTTCCTCTTGGCAAGAGCCTTGCGTTGTTTCAAGTTCTTGTTGGACGCAGAACCTGATGTTGATGCCTAAAATATACAAAATACAATACAATATTGTGGAAGTGCCCGGGTCCGCTCAAAGTGGAACCGTTTTGTAATTGCCATTTTCCACTGCCCTCTTTTGTGGAACTTCGATCTTAAACAATTTATTTTCCACCTCATAGGTCTATCTACTACAAACTAGCTTTCCTTTATTTTTTTCGCTGGCTCGACAAAATACTTCTAGACATCCCCAAGACTTCTTTTCAGGTTTTTAGCATTACAAATCGCGAATAATGACTGAAGTAAGGTATCAAATGTCATAAACACAATAACCAACTCGAAACAAAAGTCTGTGTCTGCAACAGACCCACTTACTTGCACTGGTTCCTCAAAAATCTGGGGAATAACCAGTCGCTTCTTGTGGGCCATCTCCTCGAGAAGTGCCCTCTTCGATTCTGGTGAATAAAAGATAAAAACATGTTAACAGAGCCACAGAACAGATAGGTCAGTCTGACATGACAGGGTCAGGCATACTGATGGCATATCAGCCACTGGTGTTAATTTAATGCTATAGTAATTTTACACCACCAAGCTTGAACTGCACAGTTTGCAAGAAGTAGAACAACCGCCAACACTGCAGAATGATGTCACGTGCAAGCCACATATAAATCCATGGATTCAATGACAGCATTTCAATTATAAGAGAAAAATAAGAAAAGTTAGCGGTCATGTGATTGTGCTGTGTTATGCCCTGTACTCTGCTGATAATCTCTGCCCAAAACATTACAATTATTTTAGTAAGTCACTGGAAGCTGCATTTACGTCACACATATTCTTCCTCTTAACAAATGCTTCAATTATTTGTAGGTGCTCAGACTACCAATCCTTGTGGCAGTTGCATCTTTTTTAATTTCAGTGAAAAAATTTAGAGTGTGCACTACCAGTGTAGATGCACTCACATTCGGTTTAAAGGGAAACCGAAGTGGTTCTGTATTTTTGAAAAAACACATGGATCATCTTCTTTGGCCTCTAGGACCATGAATATCGAAATTATTTTTCAATCTGATGTAGGAAGCCGTCGCACAGCATTTTGAAAATAGCACCGAAGTCCCGCCCTCTTTGAGCATGACATCACACCCAGAGTTCTTGGAACCTCCGCTCTCTCGTGCCTTATTGAGCACCCATCATAGTCATGCTCGCACTCTTGATATTTTCAGAAAGGTCAGCAAAAAAACATCACAAATGGTGTCACGTGTGGGGGAATATACCTGGTAAGCTTGCAATTGCACGTGCTACCCACATGAGCGACATAGACTTGGTAATCAAAAGATCTGGCGGGAAATTTTTCGAGTTTTCTTGTGTTCAGTTACATCTTCAGGGAAAACGAATGTGATATTTGGATTCACGGGATAAAAATGTGCTACAATCTGGCTCTAACTCTCCTCAATGGCCAGCGACTCGAGGATCTCCCTTCCAAGCTGTTTCCGGTGTTGTGCGACGACAGTGATGTTTGTGAAGTCAGGAGCACATTTGCATTCCCGATAATGCGCCGAAAGGTGGCCCGCCGACGTTAGTGTGGCCACAGAGGCTGCATGTTCTCTGGTGCGGTCGTTTATGCACCTCCCTGTTTGCCCTATGTAGCTTTTGCCACATGACATGGGGATATGTGATATGTGAGAAGCTTTGTAAGCAAGTGCGACATAATCCAGAGAAAAATGAACCAACGAAAAAGAAACCACCAAAGCCTTTCGTAGTGGTACCATATATACACGGGATCACTCATCGTCTAAAAAAGATAGCTGGCCGACAAGGCATCCACGTTGTGTGCTCAGCCCCCAACAAGGCATACGCCACGTGCCGTAGGGTGAACCGGGAGACCGACCAGAACGTGACGACGACCTGCGGCACTGCGCATTGAACACCCTATGCCCCATGTGAAAAAGGAGTCGTATACAATACCCCTATGTCATGTGGCAAAAGCTACATAGGGCAAACAGGGAGGTGCATAAACAACCGCACCAGAGAACATGCAGCCTCTGTGGCCACACTAACGTCGGCAGGCCACTTTTCGACACATTGTCGGGAATGCAAATGTGGTCCTCACTTCACAAACATCACTTGTCGCACGACACCGGAAACAGCTTGGAAGGGAGATTACTCGAGTCACTGGCCATTGAGGAAAGGGGGGAAGAATGCGTAAGTGTCGCCTCCATTGCGCTCTTGCCTAAAAAAAAAATATATCCGCAGGGAGTGGCCCCTCGGAGCAACCAAGTCGGGACTATTTGAATGCCAAGATCCGACAGAGGAAAAAGAAGTTGACACTACCGAAAGTGTAGAAAAAAAGAAAGTTTTGTAAGATCCGACAGCTGAAGAAGAGGTAAACTCTACGGTTAGTGTCGAGAAAAAGGAAGTTTCAGTCTAAGATCTCACAGATGAAGAAGAAGACACCTTTTAGGATAGTGTTGAGGAAAAGAAAGTTTTATTAAAAGGTTGATAGTCCAGTAGTGTGGTTCTTTGTTTTTTTTCTCTCCATCGCTTTTCCTAAACGTTCAACTGGTATTCAAGTAAGCATAAAAAAGATATGCCGCAAATATTGCCGAACGCCTCGACAAAACAAAATGTTCGAGAAAAAAAAGAAAGTGGGCCCACACCGCGGATCGAACCCGCGCCCACTTGCGTATGAAGCAGAAACCTTGCCACTATGCTTTGCCACCGCTTATTAGAAAACTTTTAACTATTCGTTTTATACGAGTTTCGCGTAGTGCGTACACCCTTTTCCGGTCGAGGTGCAGGACGGAGTCCGAATAACTTTACTCATTAAAAGTAGTTACGTCGGAAGTAACGCTGGATATTGCGTTTACCACAATCGTATGTTAAGGAAGTACGATTTCCCAGTATTGCAATCGAGTTTTGAGCTACACAAACCGCACACACTTCCTTTGAGAAAACAGATCAGCGCAGGGCAAACACAAAGGAACAGCAAAGGCCAGGTACTTACTTGCAAGAAGGACCACTTTCGCCTCGTAGTAGCCTTCTTCAAGGCCGGCCTCGGAGCGCCAATACGCTTGCACCGGTTCACTAGGGATGTCAGTCTCCGTTTTTGGATTATAATCCTTGATCAGGCACACAGGCATGATCGCCTTCTCTTTGTCGGCGGGGTAATGTACGTACGCGTAGAACATCGCGAAAACAGAAGAAACATACGAAAAGAAAGTCAAAAGAATAAAGCAACGCTTGCTGGGCTACCAGAAAAAAAAAAAACGCACAACGCACAAAACGAAGTGCACAAGATAGAACGCAGTAACACAAAAAGGTGAAAACAACGATACCCAAATCAAAGCAGAGGTCCTGTTAGGACTAGGAGGCACAGGCAAGAGCAGAGCCAGAAAGGAAAGCCGTTCGGGCAACACCGAAAAATAAAGGTGGATTGGATTGGATTGGACGGGATTGTAATGAGCCTGGAATATCTCTCTTGAAAACAGAAGTGAAACTGCTGTAGCATGATGGTATGTTATTGGTGTTTATTCGTTGGAAGAAAATCCTAAATATCCTCAAGGCTCATATTAATTATTAAAAATAGTAGAACTTATTAAATATTATTTTTATGACCTCTGAAACACCATACAGCCGTCGATTTAACGAAAACTTGAACTCGCGAAGTCGTCGGAAGTAAACCCCTCACGACTGCGAGCAACTCCCGAATTCTCGGCGCGAAAAGCTCACACACACACACACACGCACGCACGCACAATTCCTTAATTGCAGGGAAGCGAATTTGCGCGGTGCTTCGGGGGCGCTAAAAATTAGATTAAAATGTAACCAAACAGCGTAGCTTCGACGCTGGCCATCGCCCTGGCTTATTATAGATTCGGTCTTCGGCTCTGACTGCGTCTGCTAGTTTGTCCCACCGCGGTGGTCACTGGTCCGCTCGGCTCAGTGGCTCGGCTTGTTCCGTTTCTCGGTTTGCATTGTTTACCTTGAGGTTGTTCGTTGTTCCGCACAGTGCTCTCAGTTTCGACGCTCGGCAACTCGTACTTGTTCTTCGTCTTGGAAGTGTGGTCGGGTTTGTGTTTCTCCCATTGGCTCTTCTATTAATTGCTCCGTATTTACGTGGACCATTTTTAGGCGGAGTATTTGTGCGTGACTTTCGCTTTCGTCGTCTGCGTTACTTTTGATCGTTCGAAACTCGAACTGGTTCTTTTTTATTATTTATTTTTTTTATTTTATTTTGTGCGTCAGTCGCGTCATTTGCGTCATTCTGCTTCTCGCTCCCCTCTGTTCCTCAGCAATTCTACATTTTTCTTTCCTGTTGCCTGTTCGTGCGCGTGTTCACAAGCCTGGCTTGATGGCTGCGTTTGCTCCGTGACTTGTTATCATGGCTAGTAGTGAAGCAACTCGGCGTCGACGATTTGTTTACTTAGAGAAGGGCGCGTCTTTCAAGATACCAAAGTCCACTCTGTCTCGGTGTAAGAAGGCTGTGCCAAGCGGGAACCAATCAGCAACAGCCGGTTCTCCCGTCTATGATGTCCCCAGCGATGGTGACGAGCTCGAGAGTGACTGTGATTCCTGCAGCAGTGACCCTCAGTCGAGAATCACTGCGGAAGACGCTGACTCTTCAGAGAGTAACGGAGAGGAGACTATGACTCACCAGTCACATGCAGATTCTTCAACCTTTTGGGAACAGACCGAGCAACCACCACATATGAGTGAAGAACATGCACTGGCAGCAGGCTTACGAGCTTTTGGAACCCAAACTCTGCCCCATTCGACAACTACCAAGGCAGCAGCTGTTGCGATGATTATGGCGTTTGTGGCTGGTGAAGCCTTAAGCTGGCAGGGCCTTGACAACCTTCTTTTGATGGTCAATGCATTCTTTGCTCCAGAGCAGTCTGTGCTCCCACAAAGCAAGTACCTGTTCCGAAAGCTGTTTGCAGCCGAGGCGGAGTCCGCAGCTGTACGACATTTCTACTGCCGGTCATGCAATGATCTCTTGGAGGTTTCCGCTGAAGATGGCGTCTGTCCCACCTGCGAGACGTCTAGCAACCTCAAAGATGCAAAGAAAGATGGGGCTTTCTTCGTTGTTCTAGACATCGGCAAGCAGCTGAATCATGTCATTCAGAACAACAAAGCAGCCCTTCACGAAAAGCTGAACCAGATTGCCAGTGACCGGGGTGCTACCACCAGTGTCATCGGTGACATCACTCAAGCCAAAGCGTACAAGAATCTGCAGTCATCGGGGACCCTGGGGGACAGTGACCTCACGTTGACAGTGAACACTGATGGAAGCCCCGTATTTACATCTTCCGGTGCATCCGTCTGGCCCATTCAGTTCACTGTCAACGAGTTGCCAGTGCCTCAACGATTCCAAGTTTCAGTGCTTGCTGGACTTTGGTTTGGGAAGGGACACCCCAACATGACTTTGTTTTTTGGAAAGTTTGTAGAGGGTGTCAAGAGCATGCAACCCGTCCCCTGGCAGCATGAAGGCACACAGCACTCGTCTAGAGCGTACATCTTGTGCTGCTGCGTGGATGCCCCCGCACGCGCATCTGTGCAGAATATGGTACTGTTCAACGGGTACTACGGGTGCCCATGGTGCCTAATCAAGGGAGATTACGTTGATGGTACGTATCTATCTGACCTTTGGATGTCAACGTTCTACCACTGCAAGTTTTGTATAGTCATTTCAACCTCATTTTCAGGGAGCCTCAGATTCCTCTCCTTTGAGGATGCACGTGGGAGGACGTCAGCAGGTGTCCTACGGGACATGAAGGTGGCCCTGGAGTCCTCCTTGGTCATCAACGGCTACAAGGGTCCGTCTCCAGCCGTGAGCCTTCCAGACTTTGACCTGGTGTGGGGGTTCACGGTGGAGTACATGCATGCTGTACTCCTGGGCGTCATTCGCCAGATCACGGAGATGCTGCTGTCGTCTGTAAACTCCAACGAGCGGTTCTACATAGGTAAGATGGCAGGAATACTCTTAACTTTTTGTAAAGGTTTTCATGGGAAAATTGTTGATCATTTCACTATCAACCGGGTTCTATAAATTCACAAGAGGATGTTGCAAACGATGGCTATACAAGCCATCATTTGCAACATCAATCACTATATGCATTTATAAAACTGGGGATAGTGAGATTATTGACAATTGACATAACATTCACTATCACATTTTTTGCAAATGTGCCTGTAAAATATTTCGATTTTATGTATATTATAATCCTACATTTTAAAATGTTTGTAAAACATTTATGAAAGATGCAACAGTTTATTTATTGACTATTGCAAATGTTAAGGCTTTTGTTCTTGTATTTAGCTCTATATTTGCTCAGTTACCAGACATTGTGCTCAATGTTCTGCACCAGCCCAAAGGGGGAAAAATGAATCTTGAGTTGCTAATAGGCAAACTATGCAACCTGCATATAAATATGAAGTCACCAATGTTTGATGTGGTAGGTGGGCCTAGGGCTTCAACGTTTTCTTGGAGCCAGCCTTCTGTACCAAGGATACATACAACATAGCAAACAAACATTAATTTGTTTATGCCCGCGTAGCCATCAGCTTCAAAGGAAAGGGAAGGAAGGAACAAGACAAGCGGCTCTGATAGAGCATTTAGTTCATTGGTGAATCGCAACATAAGGAGAGTGTCAGGCAGTTTTTTAGTTACTGAGCTTTGAACTATATAACAAAAAAAAAGCAAAAAACAATTGTACTGTAACAGATCAGGCATCTTTAGTTCAGAGAGATGTAGAGGCATATGCAGCGTGTGGTTGTTGAAGTTTAAAGGGAGACTTAAGTGGTTCTGTATTCAAGAAGAAAAACACTTTGTGCCCTTCAGGATCACAAATATCTAAATTATTTTTCAATCTGATGTAAGGAGCAGTCGTAACAGTGCTTTGAAAATAACGCCGAAGCCCCGCCCTCTCTGAGGCAAGTGAGAGGCGTGATATCAGATGACATTATATGCAAATGTACGGCTTGTCTGCTCATCTCTGCTTTGTTTGCTGCTATTTCCATTTGGTTTTCTGTGACTGCTCGTGGTTTTCTGCGATTGTGCGTGGTTTAATTTTGTTATTCGTTTTTGTTGTTTCGGTCTTCTGTACCATGACAGTCTCACGATTATGCCGACCCTGTGTGCGGCTGTTGGCTCCTCTAAGGCAGCATGATTAGTTATACCACAGTCCTTAGTTATACAAAGTATTGAACTAACTATTGCTTTTTGCAAAGTCGGATGTCGCAAAATCAACATGGTGAAGCAGTAAGAATGCTGGCTTGCTCAATCCAGCATTTGAGCAGAAACTGGGTGAAAGAAATCACTGCCAAGGCCCAGTGCACATGAGAGCTGAAGTTATGGTTCAATATTTGTCTCCGCTTGTGAGCTAACCCTGCCAGTGCTTTTTTTCACCATGCAGTCTCGGCTGAAATGCTGGCTCGGGCAAGCCAGCTCTGGCCGACCTCCACATCACTTTTTATAAGCTTGACGTAAATCGGAAGCCATCATGAGAGGCTAATCACGGCAATAAATTGGAGAAAGGAAATCACGCCAGCGTAAAATAGGCCGAGCAAATAAATCTGCAGCGAATCATACACTGATTTATGCATCTGGTAAGTTCTTTGTGAAAATAATAATGAATGCAACACATCCATAGCCGATATTCACCCCAATAGGAAGCATTCAAATTATAGAACGGAATTTTAGTGGGGTCAATATTTCGTAGATCTTGCAAAGTGCGCAAGGTTAGAAGCTTTTTGCTGTTAAAAAATTTTGCGATTCTGAGTGGTATGCTATGTATTTGTTACCGTTGGGTAAGATATAATCGTGATCTAATGAGGTTTCCAGGAAATTGAATCATGATGAATGTTCACAGACTCACCAACAGGTCTGTGGACGTTTGCCCGCTAGTGCCATTTGGTCAGCGAGCAAGAAGTGGCAGTCGCATGGCAGCGCCATAGTGGCGCCGAGCAAGTGCCACTGCCACTTCATTCAGCACAGTCCCACATTCTCAATTTTCTCTCTTGTGTGTTCTGACGAAACCTGAAAAGATTAGGATACGTACCAGTATGGGTTGCCCACACGTGCATAGAATGCAATGCCGCTCGCCTGGGGCTGCAAGCATTGCCACTCCTCTGGACTCGAAGCCCCCCCCCCCCCCCCCCCCCCGGATGTTTTCCCCACACTTCGCTAAGGGCTAAAACGCATATGGAGTCATGTAAAGAGCCCTCTATATTTGTTAAACCTCAGGTGCTTAACGGCTCGCCATTCTTTGTGTATACAAGGTGATAAGTGATTATCAGGGTCGCCATTTTAACCTGCGAGCATTCAGGAGCAATACGAAATGACCGCATAAAGCTCTGCATATAACGTAGGGCCGATTCAGCCGATGCTGACCGGCGCTCGTTTTCGTGTTCCTTTTGCATTTAGAGGAATACTTTTCGGCCAAATGGTTGACTTATCCGAAATCAGCGTGTAAAACTACGCTAGAATCCACCTCTAACTCGTTTTTTGTTAGAACCTCTTAAGTTGCCCTTTAACATACTACTGTCACTACACTGAAGCCTTTGGAACAAGTCAAAGGTGATGTCATAGCGAAATGTTTTTTTCTTGTTTGCTTAATATTGCAGGCAGCCCCTCCTCTGTTGCTGCACTAGACAGGCGCCTGCTTTCCATCACGCCTCCCCACTGTGTCACAAGGCTGCCGAGGTCCCTGGCAACTCGCACCAACTGGAAGGCGTCCGAGTGGAGGCATTGGCTCCTTTACTACTGTCTCCCATGTACACTTGGGATCCTTCATCCAAGGTACTGGAGCCACCTGGCCAAGCTTGTTGAAGGAGTGCACCTTCTCCTGAGAGAGGAGCTCACTTCGTCCTCAATTGACCGTGCAGGTGAGGGCAAACATGCTATTGCACTGTTACTACATGCAATAAACTGGCTGTGAGCATATTTTGCTCTCAGTCACAATGCTCATCCTTATTTTATTGAAGTCAGATCTGGGTGACCATTTTAAACTTCAAGGGGACATTATAATCGTTGAGTTTTGTTTACGAATGGAATGCATGCATCCTTTCTCATGATGGAAGCACTTTACCTGAGAATACTTCATATTTTGTTTATGTTGGTGGAAAAAGAAACCTTTGGGCGCTTTTTAGCTGAAGGCTAAGAAGCACCCGCAATAAACATAGAAGATTCCACAGATGTTTGTAATTGTTTTTGTTATTGCATTCAAGTCTAGATTTTTTTTCTACTTTCTTGTATAATGCCCATGCTGCCCCTCAGCGGAACATAGATAGGGATGATGATGATAACCACAGAAAAATTGGCAGTCCAGTGATAACTGACAACACGGCCAACACAACCGCTTCTCTGCCTGTCTCCGTCTAACATTGTAAACAAAAGGTGGGCCAGATACAATATCCGTATCATAGTTTTCGTTTTACTTCGTACATTATGTCTCCCCAATAGTGCCCGACCTAATTAGATAACCCGCAAAAGCCAAGAATTCACGTATAAGCTGTAACTTACCTTGAATATGTCTCCGAGGTACATATTTAGATAGTGTCAACTCCCACTACAAAAAACTTCCACCTACCACTGTCTCAATGACAATATTAAAGACGTTTATGCTCCCAGCGACTATTGGCTCCATATTGGTACAAGCATTTATTTATTTATAATCTCTGTTGTGGGATTTCAGAGTAGATTTTGATAGGTAACTTGGATCAGTAAAATATGTATTTGAGAAAAGTCACAGCTTCACTCTTCAAGTCTTTGATTTTTGTGGGTCATTTTAGGTTTGAAATTTATTTTTGGGAACACCGGTAAAAAAGACTCGAGGTACATCTAAGCACTTACGAGTTGAGAATGCGGAAGCATGAATGTCATTCTTCGTGCCACGGCCGCTTCTGATCCCCTCGGCACCAAGGCTGCTTCTGAACCTCTCGGCGCCACGGCCGCATGTAATCCTTTCGGCGCCTCTTCTATTTTTGCCTTGGTGCAGGCACGCAGTGCCATGGGGTGGTCCAAATTGAGATTGACACACGTCAGCTTCATATCATAGCCGTTTTGCATGACTTTTTGCATAGTTTCAGAGCTGGGATGCCTCAGATCACGGCTTCAGGAATTTATCTGCCGTTTGGTGCGGCTGATGACGTCTGCTCGCTCCATGGGACCAGTTAATGCTTTCACATTAATACCAAAGTAGCGCCCACCCCACTTTCAGTAAAAACTGGGTTAATCTAGAGATGGGCACTTGTCCGGTCAAATCAGGTGCTTAACGCATGATTTGCAGTATCCCCAAGTTTGGGAAGTGTTAATGGTGGGCGCTTGAACGAAGTGGGTGCTTCCACGGTAATTTTTGGTACGTACAGAGTGCGACACTGTTAGCACGAACAAGCGATCGCCGGTTTTTCCAGTTTTTCTCTTTGAAACTAAAGGGCGTCATCCAAGTTATTGCTACAAAAAGAGCTCATTTAGATCTTTAATGTAAGCAATAAAATTTTGTGCTTGCTTATATTATTTAGAGGTAAAGTGCGAAAATGCGCCGATGTCGTGTTTGCGCTTGCAGTGTCGTGATGTGTACATAGTACATAGAAGTTAAGGCAATTGGCATTGAAATTGGTCTATGTTTAAACTGAGCTAAGGAACAGAAGTCTACCTTTTGGATAGACCGGGACTATAATTCTAATTGAGGTAAACCTGGATGATTGTGCCAATATGGATAACACTGGAAGGTGTAGAATATTGTAAAATGTTTCAGGCATTGCTTAAGAGCCATCAGAATATTGCATGCTAAGTGTCGAAAAGTCTTGGTATATTATTCTCAGTAAAGGTCCGAATAGACAGGGTGTCAACATCTTTTATGCATTGACGCTACATAATGCTTACTGCACAGCCAAGAAATTAGTTTTTTATCACTTAATACCAACCACCTTTTACTTACAGATGCTCTACTGCGGACCTTTGTAGCCTCCACAGCGACACTGTACAAGGATCAAGCCATGACGTTCAACATTCACCAGATGCTCCACCTGGCAGAGGCGGCTCGGCAGATGGGGCCGCTCTGGGGCCACTCTGCCTTTGTATTTGAAAGTGGAAATGGCCGCCTAGTAAAGCTTGTCACTGGCGCCAACGCAGTCCCCAGTCAGATTGTGGAAAGTGTGTTCATGGCACAACAGTTAGATTCTTTCCTGGCCTCACCACTCGTGCCTGATAGCGGCAAAGACGTGTGCCACAGAATGCTGGGCTATCCCAAGCTGGTCAACTTCGTTTCCATAGGTGATGTTGGCTTGCTTGGGTGCCCTAAAAAACTCGTCTTGTCTCCAGAAATCAGGATGGCACTTGCAGAGTATGTTGAAGAGTGCCCTGCCCTTGCTGCCGAGTACCAGAGATTTGTCCTCAAAGGGCAAATCTTTCGCAGCAGGGCAAACAAAAAACTTCTGAAGTCTGACTCATTTGTTATCCAGACACATGGCCTAGACTATCGGGTTATTCGAAAGATCCTGTGTGTAAGTTCGAAAGTATTCCTTGTTTGCGACGACATCGTGATCAACGAAAGCCAACTCCTTCCGCACCACATTAAGGAATGCTTTATATCTAGGGTGGGTGCGGTACGTGTTGTTGAGCCATCGGATCTCAAGGCATCTTGCCTTTTCTTCCAGTTTCGGAACCAAGGTGCAAGCGTGTCGTATGTTTGCGACCTGGCGAACAGCATTGAACGGGATTGAAGCAAGCTTGCTTCACCTCTGTATAGTTGCAGACTGATTTTTCGGACTCGAAAGGATTCCCCTAAAAATGTCAGAATAACCAAGCAGTTTGAAAAATTTATGTCAGCCTACATTTGAAGATTCCATGTAACCGCCATTCGGTATCGATGACAACAAGCAAAAAGTTTGACGGCGTCCGCGATTTCTGTCAATGTTATATATTAGCTGCATGGGGTGAGTGACGTCGTGTAAAAACATCTGTGATTGGGCACGTTCCCAATTTCTACGTCCGAAATGTATATTTACCTAATTTACTTTCTGTATAGTGATGCCTATGTGGGTACCATTTTGATTTACAGTATCTGATATTTTTGTATGAGACTTGGATCTTATCACGCTGTTACTGCTCCGCCATATCCAGCCTTGTAATTAAAGCTGTGGTGGCTAACAGTATGCATGGTGTATGTAAATATTGCAAAGAATGTTTATTTGATTCCGCTCTTTTATGAATGTTATTTTTAGGGCACATCTACTACAAAACTGATGATTGTTTAATTGCACTACTCACCAGAATGGATTTAGGCGTCTGCTAACTGTACTAGTGGTTCAAATATTGAAAGTGCATTCCAAAATGACAATAACTGCTTTAAGTAGTTTTAATAGATGGTAATGCAGCAGGCATGCCAATGCAAACATTCATACTTTTTTTTTTATTGTTGATGACCTAATTATTTGTTTTATAACTTTTGTAATTATTCTTACTAATCATATTCAAGTAAAAAAATGTCATGTATACGTAAGCTCATCTCGGGAGTTGAAATGCATGCGTGCATTGCTCAAATTGTCTATTGTATGTCTTTCCATGTCTGAGAAGTCGAAACAACATTACCGTGCGTGAAATGCAATAATGGGCACCGACACAGACTACCTGTCATTAACCAAACTAAACACGACTATACACAATCGGTATATCAAGTTGTCTGCCGGTGGCTGAAGTTCACAGGAATGTTCCAATTTCTCAGACATGCTCCATGTTCTATGACCTGCTCAGACATGCTACATGCTCTGAAAACTTGATTAAAATGTGAGCTTGCTACATACTATTAACTTTTTCAGGTCATACTGCAGCCTTTTTTATTTATGCTTTCCTGTGTATGTGTGCTTCTTTTAGGCTTTTTAAAATGTTTGTAAATAAATATGACTCAACAACTTGACTGTCAAAAGCAATAATGCATTATTATTTTCTAATGTCTTTGCATGCTCTTATAGTGAAGTCGTTTAGCACATGACAATCTTTATACTGTTAGTGAAGTTCATTTAGCACATGACAATGTTTATGCTGCTAGTGAAGTTCATTTAGCACATGACAATGTATATGCTGCTAGTGAAGTTAATTTAGCACATGACAATAAGTCTGCTTCCTCTCATATTTAATAAGTGTATTAGTGGCATGTGGTAATTTAATGTAAATTAATTAAATGTTCCAGGTTAACAGTGATTCTACACTCGTGAACTTGCTCATGAACCATATGTGTGTTGCCATACTTCAGAGGCTCACCAACCCAGTTGAAAATTCTCATCAAGTTCTAATTGGAATTATCTTATTGTATGTATTGTATGTGCGCATACTGACGACGATGACGAAAATTCCGCAAACGAACAATTAGGTTTTTGGGACAACCAATTGGTCACTGCCAATGGGAACCAACAGGAACCATTTGGAACCCATTCAGTATCCAACTGGAAAAATAATTCCAATTTGCGGGACTCATTGGCCAGTGTGCTTCCAGTAGAGCCCACTGAAACCAATTGGTTCCAGTTAAAACCAGTTGCGGTTCCAACTGAATTTAATGGGAATTTATAACGGGTTAACCTTGCTTAAAAGGCATTGAACTTCTAACTATACTAAATCTGCCGTTTTTATAGCTTCATTTGACCGCTAGGAACATTTAGCACGCAATGCCTAGGGTATCGAACAAAACGAGGCAGACATACACTATTTCAACTGGACTTGTCAATGTTTGGCTTGTGCGAACCGGAGGGTATACCTGTTCACAGACTTGACCAGTTACTTTTACTTCCACTGATTTTGTCAAACGTTTGTGGAAACGGGTGATTTTCAGTTCAGGCATTCTCCAGAGTGCATTAGAACTTGAGTTGTTGACATCCGGTTTGTGAAAACCGGATATTGTCTATCCGGATTTTCTCCGGTTTGACTTTAAATTGGAGTCGAAAAATCCCGATTTGAGCAAACCGGAAATTGTTTATCGGATTTTCTCCGGTTCGACTTTAAATCGGAATCGAAAAATTCCGATTTGAGCAAACCGGAAATTGTATATCGGATTTTCTCCGGTTCGACTTTAAATCGGAATCGAAAAATTCCGATTTGTTCTAACCGGAGATTGTCTATCCGGATTTTCTCCGGTTTGACTTGAAACCGGAGTCGAAAAATCCCGGTTTGTGCAAACCGGAGTGTGTCTTTCCGATTTGATTTTAAACCGGATTTAGATTTCCGGTTTGATTTCAAACCGTTATTTTTGGTAGGGCAGTTATTCCCAAAGAAAGCATTTAAGAGAATTCTAGGGTAGCTCATCGTTGTTTGAGGCGAGGACGGGCGTTATGCGAACCAGAACATACAGAGCGAAGTACCAGGAAATGGGTACAGTGTGCACTGCTTGTGGAGAGGAGGACGAGCCGGCTGAGCAATTGATACTCTACTGGAAAGACCTTCACCCTATGCCTACCGAAGACAACATAGACTTAATAAAGTCTTTAGGTTTTAGAAACAGCGAAGGAAGAGTGGACAGTAGAGAAAGTAGAGATTGTTAAGCAAAGATTAAGTGAATAGTGCCAGAAAGAGAAAAAAACTAGGTATTATTAACTGACGGCAAGGGAATTTATAGCCTCACTTTCTTTGCAGTGCGGAGTGAATATAGTTTTCACATTTAAATATTCTAAGCTTAAACGGTAAAACAAAATGGCTTGATGGCGCCAGCTGCCGCCCGAACCAAAGGGCTCAGCCGGATTCATCCATCCGTCCATTCATCAAGGACGGCAGGCACGGGAGGCCAGTAGCCAGCTGGAGTATTTCCTTCACAAACCTTTACATAGCTGGGCGATTGCAGTACTGCCTAGTGACGATATTTGATTGCGGCTCATTGATTGGACCCCCAGCATTGTGTGATCACTCAATTTGGGCTTATGACAATCAATAGCTGGACAAGCATTCGGGTAGTTTTCCGTGTCCAATCGCTGCAATGACGACAACAGACGAACCATGACAATGTCTAGAATTAAGCCCGTGTAACGTGCCTTGCCAACCCCAGCGAGTGGCTACGATGAACATTGGCGGCATTGAGCCGGCTCCAGATCACGTGGCCGCTTTTTCTGGCTGCGATTTAAAACAAAAAGAAGGACCTTGCTCTTCATTTGTTTTTTTTTGCGAATTTGATTGCGTGTGGTGACAATCGCACGGTTGTTTCACAAGTTCTTAACGTGAGGGATCTGTTCTAAGCGGTATTTGCTCAAAGTACAATAATTGCTGCATCACCCCTTTTAGTATTTATTTCACTCAAAAAGATTTTCAGACAAAAAAAATCCGTGTTCTCTTTCTAGCTGTAGTGTGTATTTCACTGACATGAATTCCAGATACCTCCACAGCATCATGTCTTGTTCTGACAAATTTAGGCTTAGCTAGAGGTGGACTCGTAGAGAAATATGGAATACCTTTGTTTTATTTTATTTCAGCTAACATCCTCTTCTCAAAAATTTGTGGTTTACACAAAGCGCCAGCGCAACATGTTCACGGACGGACAAAATATATGTTTGTCCGTCCCTTCTCGTTTTCTTCCTCAAGTTTAATTCCTGAAGTTTAATTGTCCATACCATCCCGCTCGTTCTGTCCTTACATGCTCAGGAAGTTTCAGCTTCCTTCGATACCGAAAAGCACGTTTTATTTAATCTCTTCCCCTTCCCTCGAATGCAGATTCTTCCGCTATCGACCCTACTTTTAGCAGAGCTGGTACTTTTGTTCCTCTTTGAAGATGTTATGACTAAGGGATGTATGCTCTGATGAGGGGGAGGACGAGAGGTGTTCTTTGTTCTATATAAAAAGGGGCTCTCGTGGAAATGGCCTTTCACGGGGGCCATATGACGGGATAGTTGCTTATACATTACATAAATAAAAGTAGCGCAAAAGACCACGGCAAGTAGAAGAAAGCATATGTTAGTGTAACTTAATTTGAAATACAGTTTTTTGTTTCTTAATTTTGACGTGTAAATAAATTCTTGCGTTGTTTCGTCGTTTGTTTTGATTTCATATACCTCCCTGAAGTTCTGCTTTATATTCCTTTGTTTCTTCACTAAACATCAGTTGCGAGTCAGCACTTTTCCATCTGTGTATTCCTGTTCCTATATTATTTTTATTTGCGCTACTATCGTTTTTTGAAATAAACTATCAGCTGTGTTTCCTGATGTTTCTCTGTGGGACTTTTTTTTTCGTGCCTCGGAGTTTTTTGTATGCTATTATAAAACCCGAGCTGGATGTATTATAGTTTTTTTTGTTTCTCAATCTGAGAAATGACGTTAGTGACCCCGAGTGGCAACTCCCCACGCTATTGTCCAAAGTATTTTTGGAGTTATTCGTATATTTCGAATTAAATGATAGTGATTTATTTCATTGCTTATCTATTTATTCCTTTAATAATATTGCAGACTATTCTGAGAATGAGAAACAGTGTACAATACAAAAAGGCTCAATTAAAATAATAAGAAACGACCATTTAACAACGGACAGAAACAATATATCACACAGAAGAGATCAAAGTCATTACTTACGAAATGTTTTTGAAGGGGCGAAATCTTAAACTTGCAATGAATATTTCCTCTTCTGTACTATCAAGTGTAATTTTCGCAACTTGAAGAATAATTAATCTATCGTAGTTTCTTCCCATAGTCGCGTACAGCATGTCCAGTCTCAAACATATTATTTATTTTCGCTTCGCAGTCAATGTGATTGCTTC